TTGCTTTCAAAATCGCTCTGTGTCGAATCAATAGATTATATTTCGTGACTATAACACGAAATGCCGTGAGAGCTTCATCCTCTGAACACCACAGGATGGCGACTGTAACGCACACATAGGTACGCTCCTCTGAAATGATTGTCCCCTGCAATTATTATTATCCCTCATGGAGTTCGCTATTCAGCTCGCTAACGTTAGCTTAAACAAACGTAACATGCAACGTTAGCCTAATCTAAAATGCTCTACTCCGGCGTACCTTTCATGTGGCTCGTCAGCGCAGACTCTCGCATCGTTATGTTGCAAACTTTTCAGGAGGCTACTCGTGGGCTTGACCCTCGTCTTAGCCATGGCTCGTCTTCTGCTAGCCAACGCTCGTTGAAACTGCAACCTCCTGGCACACAGTCATCTATCACTCTCATCCGAATGCCCAGGTCACACGTAACACAAACACTTGCAGGTCGCGCGCATAGCGCGGGAAGGCCGCAGCGGAGCTGTTTTATGTAGAAGCGAAGCAATTATTTTCTTTTAATCTAAAAAGCGAACTATTCAGTCAGACAGCAATTTATTGTAAAAGTAAAGCATTTACATTTTAAAGCACTTTATCTCAATTTCAAGCACCATTCCCAAAATTCAAGCACTTTCCCAACCTTGAAAACACCACCTCAAATTTCAAGCATTTTCAAGGATTTCAAGCACCCGTACGAACTCTGTCTTAAGCAATGCAGCTCATGTGTCCTTTTTATATGCTGTCCATTGAAATGCAGGAAAGTAATCACCAGCTCTGAGTGATCTGTTGACGAGGGGACACTACACCGGAGTTACATAAGCAGAGATAAAGTGCTATTTTGGGGGGAACTCACCTCCTCTGGGGTCCCCCAGGAAGACTTTTTTTAAATACTGAAGTTAAAAGCATCAATCTTGTGCACTTTGAGAGCAACATTAAGAGATATGGATACATCTCTCAACACCCATATGTCAAAAAGAAATCTCAGAATCAGAAACGGGTTTATTATTTAAAAACACTTCATTTTCCAATTAAATCATAAACTATGTCAAATTATTAGAAGTTGTTAGTAATCAGATTAAACAGAAAAAAGGGATGGAAGGAGGAAATAATAATCCCTCATCACTTGCTGTTTGCGGTTGAAATGATCTCTTTTGCTGGCCAAACATGCTGGATGGAAAGCAGTGATGTCTCACTTGCCTTGGCCCTGTATCTGCAGTCCCTAAATCAGTCATGTTACTCATTGACTCTTGTCTGTTCTGGTGTTCCTGTTCATTGTTGTCTCCATTGTCTTTCTTGTCTGTTGTATCTCCTTCTTGTGTGTCCCTTTCTCCTGTTCTCCTTTCTTCATCCTCTACTCTGTTTGGCTCATCTGTGATGACTGTGTAGGTAAACACAAACAAGTATGTATCAGTTTCCAGCTCTGTCAAATAAATGAATTTCAAGATACACACATTTGTCTTCATTAAAATGAGTGTCACCACACTGTCACAAAATGTAATACTAACCAATTGAAAATAGTTAAATGTAGATCTCTTGTAGATATCACTGTTAGAGTAGTTATCTGCCAATAGGACAGAATCATTCCTATACAAATGCAGTTTGAGTAATTCACTTAATATATTTACTTAAAACTTTAATATAGTCATTTTCACTTAATACTCTAATATAGTCATCTTTCTGCATTCAACACTAAGGAAAGCTGTACAATTTGATATGATAATGAGGAAAAAAGGCCTCCGACAATGCAGATCATTTGTTGATCATATCAATTTTAAGATGCGGGTCAAGGCTTAATATTTGGGAGCATAGTGTCCCTTGCTCCCTTTCAGGAGCCCCACTGGATTAGCTTTGATCTGAAATATTTGTATAACAAGCTTGTTAGCTGGCTGTCCATCTCATAATGTTCACATAGAAACTAGCTGTCAATAGGAAATATCAATCAGAAGAATTATATTTTCATGCAAAATCTGTCACAAAAAGAGGTTGCACATTTAAATGCAGGTGTTGTTATGGCAACGTCAGTGGCCAGACAGCCACATGTACTGCTGCAAATACGTTCAAACATGCTGTCGACCAGAGATGGGGTCGTTACTAAAAAAAAAGTAATATATTACATATTACTTTTTTAAAAAGTAATATATTACACTACTTCGTTACTCTCTAGATAAAGTAACTCGTTACTTTACTCGTTACTTTACTCGCAGGGCCGGCCCGCCCCTACAGGCAGATCACGCAGACTGCGGCGCACCTACAGTGTGCGCGCCACAGTTTTGCCTCTGCGAGACTCCACTTGCACCCCCAATTACTATTGCATTAAGGAAGACATAACACACTTTTTATATGCTCTAAAATAGGCTACCAGCCTACCACAACAAGCTAACAGTCTGTGAAACGTAAATACACTAATGAATGAAACCAGTTCAAGACGCATTATTCTTATCATTCTTTATGAGCGCATAACGGTAAGGTAACTAATTACTTACTTAGTATTCCATAACTTAGTAACAGAGATGGTCAAACTAAAGTGGTAGAGACATGGCAGAATTCCTACAATGAAGCGGGGCATTGAACGGTTCACCCGTGAGAGGGCGATCAACAAAAGAGAGCGAGCGGCCCCGTTGAGGGAGTTTACAGATGAGAAGACTCAGCCATGTTTATGCAGCACTGCTGCACGTGGAGATGTGGTCTCGCAAATCGCGCAGAATACATAGGCCTACATGTATATAAACCGATATAAACCTGCGGCGGAAACCCCTCTTGTCTGTCAGTGAGTGTGATTATTTTATAAAAGTAACGAAGTAACGCATGTCGGGGCAATGTTAGTAACTGTAGTGTGATTACTGAATTATAATTCAATTATAATACGCGTTACACTACTCCGTTACCGACATACGTGATATTATTACAGTAACGCATTACTTTGTAACGCGTTACACCCAACTCTGCTGTCGACACGTAAAGCAGTGGCAACTATGCCACCATTTCAGCTGACTTTTTCTCAGAAATACTGTCACATAACATCCATATATATATATTTCAGTGCTAGGTTGATGCTTAGCTAAGCTAACTATGAAACACTTTAACTGACAGGACTCAGGAATCAGGATAAACTGTGTACTACTGTAAGGTAGCTTCTAGCTTCATGTCGAACACAGACAGTAAGTCAACATTTCCCAGATAGCTTTTTTTGAAATCACCAAGTAACGCTAAAAAACACAACATTTAGATTGTATGACAAAGTGTTTATTTAATATATCTGGCTAGCTATAGCTACTTGCTAACGGTTTAGCTTACCCGCGCGATTCAAAGTAACGTCAACGTAGCTATAATGTATGCTTTGCTTACATGTTCGCATAACTTGTAAGTTTACTGACAGGTACATACCTTGTTCATCTGGCTCAGGTGGTGGCTCTGGGTTTGTTGTGAGCCACCACTTGAGAATTGCCGTCTTTTTTATTAAAGAAATATCTAATGTCCATCTTCAGAATCTCCGCGTCCGGGGCTGACAGTTTAAAGTTTAAACATTGTCACAGAGGAGAGGTACGTACCTGTCAGCCAATAAAACGTTCCATGCAACTCTCTGATTGGTCTGGTGGCGTCGTCTTGCCTCTGTGTTGCATTCACTGAACATGGGAAATTACATTTCTGCCGTCCGTCCTATAGGTAAAGTAGGTTAATGTATAATTTATATTATTGAGGGAGAATTTGTCCGGGGCTAAAGAAAAAACATCCGGGGCTAAAGCCCCAGATGCCTACCCCAGGCGACGCCCCTGTCCACGTCACATATTCAGTTTTGGCGGCATTTCTTACAGTTTGTCAAAAGGTCTTCTGATCAGGGCTCTATAAATAAATATCTACGGCAGATATGTAATATTTAATGCAGCCGAACCGTGTATTACAATGCCGTTATGTGATGACTTCCAAAGAGAAAAGCAAGAACACTCGGAATAAAGTATTATTTTATTTTAAAAAATTTTGTTCCGATTTCATATCGCATAAACACCATATCCCGACATGCATTGCAGTTAAAACAATCGTTTTTCGCCTATCAAAACCTCTGAAAAAAGAAAGGTGTCTCTCAGAATCGAAAGACAAAATCCTATGGGAAAAACTCAAAAGCATTGTACACAATTTAAACCAATAAATGTCGTATAATTAACAAGGATAAACTGATGTTTTTTAGTTGATGAGTACTGCAGATATCACTGTTAAATCATTTGATCCTTGGTTTTATTATGAAAACGTCGAGACCGGAAATACTGTTTTCAACCCGTAACTTTACATGGAGGCTGCCGCATACCTCAAATCATCTTCGTAATATCTATCAAACTATAGATCCTACATATCGACTGGACATGGATTCTAAAAGTACAATATACACTTCTCGCTAGAAATCTAATCAAAAAGCGTTTTAATGGCCAAACTATCCTACAATTTAGGATTTTACAGAGAGGGTTATTTGTGAATAAACGACCATCTGTAATGTTAGCATTCAACGGGAGCACTAGAGGGCAACAACTTTAAAACGTAATTATAGGACGTATTAAGCGCTTGAACAAACGACATATTTGGTCGTAATAAGGGACTGAACAATCGGCCCATTTAGTCGTATGAGTTGGAGGACTTGTTGGTTTCTCCTGTCTCATATTGACGTATACTGGAAAACAAAGAAGAAAATCAGAGTAAACATGAATTATGCTTTGATCTTCTTTATTTGATTTGACAGGGACATGTCCTAAAACCAGGGGTGAAAGTGGTTTGAATTTCTTGCAGGTACTATAATGCTACCCCGACCTTCATTGGTTCATATTGTTCTCCTCCCGCCCCCAGCTTCATGCATCCCTGAACACAAACTTCACATTTGTAATGCCTTTATGGGGTAGAAATTAGAAACACTTGACAATATGTATAGTCAATTATTTATTTTCAATTGTGCATACAACTTGTGTCAAAACTTAACAGACCATTAGCAAGGCATGTTGAGGGAGGTAAACTACACACTTTTCCACATTTTCCACAGAGGGCTGAAGTAGCACTCCTCTTCTGTGTACCGGCGAGCCATGCAGCTTGTTGAGTGGGCTGCTCTTCTTCCTTTGCCCAGCCAGGTCTTCACATAAGGCAGTGGATCCCACTGTCTGCATGGTGGTCCCACAGAGCTGACGAAGAGGAGATTTGCTGCATTTTTTGTTGTAAGTTTGCTCCTATACTCAGTTATGATGTTGTTCATTTTGCTGAACCCCCGTTCACAGTCAGCATTGCTTGGAGACAGTGTGTCCACTGCCTTGAGCAACTTCTTCATTTTGTTGGGAATGTTTCTTCCTCCACTGGCCTTGTATTCTGTGAATCCAAGATGGGCCTCTTGTTGGTTCACATGTAGGACATCACACAAAGCCCTCACCTCATTATCTCCAAATCGAGGATTGTCATGGTCCCAGTTGTCAGGGTTGAGGACTGCCATTTGATTGATAAGGCTGTTATAAGCCTCTTTTCGGTTGGCTGCAATACTGGCCTGTGCTCTGTTTGCTGTGGTTGTGAAGAGTCTTTCTTTCATATTGTCTGCCACTGCTCGGATGAACTGAGCAGAGTCAATGATGGGAGACCTGCCAACTCTTAACTCCTCTCCCTTGAATTCCATCACTTCCTCTGCCTGACTGGCATCAACTGCATGTTGTCCTGGGTAGCGATTGAAACTTTCTATGCGTTTGACATACGTCGTCATGATGTCATGGGCCTTTGGGAGTGTGGTCTTTCTGTTCTGAAGAATTTCTGACAAGTTCTTAAGTTCAGTCAGAACATCTGCCATCAGTGCAAGACTTTTCAGGAAGTTGATGGAGCACAACTTAGAAAGCAGACCTTTAAATTTGGCCCTCTCTCTGCTGTCCCATGTATCATCCTCTGATGCCTCACGGAAATGTTGTGCCAAGGCTGGATAAGACTGCCAAACTGCAGAGACTGCCCTCCATGAAGAAGCTACCCAGCGAACACTGAACACTTTTCCAATCCTCCTGAGGGCGATGTCCAGGTTGTGAGCACATTCACTCAGCTGCCGCATGTTTTTTGGTGACTGGCTATATAATGAATATAGGCTGTCCATGAATGCCTGGAAGTCCTTTGTTCCCCCTGTCACATCCAGTGCCTGGTCAACAGCAAGCTCCAGTCTGTGATTAAGGCAGTGCCATAGTATGATGCCTGGGAAGTCATCCTGGAGCAACTTCCCAACACCTGACTTCCCTCCCAGCATGACACTGGCCCCATCACTGCAAAATCCAATGAGGATTTCTCTCAGCAACTCAACAGTGAAGCCATTTTTAAGCAAGCAACCCATAATCTGTTCCTTGATATGAGCAGCAGACATACTATCCAGCTCAACCAGGTCCAATGGAAAGGCAATGGGCTCCATGTCTCCATCAACACTAGCCTTCAGGAACACAATTAGTGTTGATTTGTGCCCAACACTGGTTGACTCATCAGCCAATACTGTGATTTTGCTCTTGGTCTCTATTATCTTTTTTAGAAGTTCCTTTTTCATCTGTGATGACACATGCTCAATTATGTCAACACAGACAGTTTTGCTATGCAAAACACGCCCTAAGTCAGCAGAATTTGCATGCTGCAGGTCAATCAGACTCTCAAAGTCTGTGAAAGGCTTGTTGTTCTTGGCCACATAATAGGCTGTCATGAATACCTTGGCAGTAGACTCAAACACAGACTCCTGACTACTCGCGTTCATGTTCAGAAGAATATCTTTCTTTGCTGTCTGGAGAATCTTGACTGCTTCATTATGTGCTGCAGAGTTCTTGTGCTCACGGATTTTTTTGCGCAGTGATGAAAGCTGGACATCCCTTGATTGACCAGCTGGGATTATCTTTCCATCAGCCCACTGAATAGCAATATTAACACCACGGGATGCCATGACACCCAGATCCTTCACATCATGGCATGGGGTACAGCCTTCCATTGTGAGCATACATCCATTCATTTTTCTGTTTGAACTGTTCATATTGTTCTTCTTTCCATATAGAAGGGTATGCAGTAGGGCTAGCATCACCTGTGGTGGCTTCTCAGGGACCTGCTGCCACTTCTTCTGGCTGAGTCTCCTCTTCCTCCCTCTGGGCCTCAACTGTTATAAATTAGAATACAAATGTATAACTAAATTCAGCAGACAGTCAAAAATGTACAAGTCTCTGTCTTTCTTTGAATTTTCAGAATATTGGTTACATAAATTAAAATACTAATAAAATAAAATGTCTCAAAATGTATGCCACAATGTGCAGATTAAAATAGAAGATATCAAAGCAAAATATTTAATGTTTATATTTAAGATATACAGTTTGCTAGTTAGCTAACTTATTATATTCATCATGGCTGTCACATCCTGGCCCTGGCTGATCGCCTCACTCCCTCACCTGTGTATTTTCGCTCCCTCTTAATCCCCTGCCTGGTCTCAATGAGCCTCAGCTGTCCCTAATGATCACTCCTCACCTGTGTATTTAGTCTGTGCTGTTTCCTTTGTCAGTGCCAGTTCGTCTTGTCTGTATAGCAGAAGGTGCTCCATGTTTCTCTTCTGACGTAAGCTATTGTTCTAGCTGCTTAGCATTTGTACCAACCTAGTTGGTTGTTTTTTTGTTGCTTCTCTAGTAGTTTTACGCCAACTTAGTTGGTTGTTTTTCGTTACTTCAAGTCAGTACATTTTTTGATCATTGCCTGTTTTATTTTTTACCTTTTGGATTAAACGCTTGACTAAAGACCTTATTGCCTGGTTGTGCTCTTGAGTCCTATTTTTGCCCGTACTTGTGCTTGATAATGGCCAGGTTTATTCTCTGGGCTAAATAAGCATCATCACCTGTGTCATCTGTGGGCGTTGTTTTTTCTAATTTAAGCACATTCTGAGTTTCTGCATCTCTCTCCTTTCTCTTAAACATCTGAAGAATCGTCGTTTGCATTTTTGCTTTAATTACCACGTAGCCTAATTTTCGAGCTGTCATTCAGTCACTCCATTATTTTCTCCTCCCGCTGTTCTGATCAAGTGGGAAAAAGCAAATACCCACATCGAAATCAGTCGGAAGTAGCAACGGCTCATTTCAAAATAAACGTGGATTTGCGTAAAAAAATTGTTTTTCGGGGTTCGGGTGTTTTGTTTGATTTTAAATAAACAAAGTCTTGGCTTTCAGAATATGAAACTTGTTTCGGCAAATTCAGATGATAAATACAACTTAGAAGCTTGTAACGGCATAATTACAAGCGGAGAACGGAGTAACTTGAGGTCACAGCAGGCATAACAACAGCCGGTGTTTCTCGTTAGTGTTTTCCCCGGGAAACAAACACAATACGCACAAACGCAAAAATACACAAACACACACACACACACACACACACACACACACACACTCGCGAGCTTCCCCCAGACCAGTAATCCAAACCAAAATATCTTCCCTTCGTAGTATAAATTCCACGGGTGGAGCTGTCAATTCTTCCTGGTCCTCCGGACCACCTGGAAATCTCTTACCGGTACTAAGGACCGGGTAGGACCGGCACACTTTCAACACTGCCTAAAACCAATGGTTGGTAAACACTTTTGATTGGTTTTCTCTCTTTTACTGAAATAGGTGTAGAACAGCATTGTGGTGGGAGTGATATTTTACTTGTTTTCTTTTTGTTAATTATTTGTATGTATTGATATGTGTATTCTATGCACTTAATGCAAAGTCATGTGAATATCACAGTCTTCAGTATTGCTTGCAAACACTGAGGTGTGAAGAGCTTTTCAAGTTATTCAGAGTAACTAAAGACGTCAAGGCACTGTAAATCTCCGACAGAGCCTTGGAGAAATTATTTGGTTAACCGTTATTGCTAGCCACTGCACAATGGGATATGTGATTTAAATATAGCTCTTGATCACCCCGTAAAAAAGATCTTCCTCATCCTCCCCTTGCAGCTTAACATTATGTTCTTCACATTGTAGTGGCTGTGGCCGCTTTGACATGTGTTAGTTTGATGTCTCTTGCAGAATAAAACTACTTTATTGTTGTTAATGAATATAAGATATAAATCAACCTTGCCATTTAAATCAATGCAGCCCTGAAGGTCACACAGCATTTAGCATGATGTCATTATATAGTCTGACTTTCTCTCAGCCCTGCCCCAACTCTGATTGGCCTCCCTGTCTGGAAATGTCAGCCAATGATAAAAATGTCACCACTTTTACTTTAATGACTTGACATCAAACTAAATCCCCAAACTCATTCACAGTGACACTGATGGAAAGGTGTACTGCACTTACCATCCCACTCTTTATAGGCAAGCAGTCTATTAATATCAGTATTACCTGTTAAAAAAGAGGCCATGTATTGCATCAGCTACATGATACTGGTCAATGGGCAGTGGTCAGCTGGGGCAACAGCAACTCTCAATGCACAGTATGGCTCTATGTACTGTAAGTCACACTTGCTTAAAGCTGGTGCATCTGACAGCAAAAAGCCTCTTTATTCCAAACCCTGGCTCCTCTGCTGCCACCATCATCACCTCCCACACTCATGTGCTGCATAATTAAACTTCAGGTGGCTAACACACCTGACACCACTTTATAAGAAAAATAAATAGCAACACCACACACTTCTAAGTATTTTAATATTAACGTACTGTTCATGTCATTGTCAATCCACCTACAGCTAATTCCACAAGTATGTATTTGCAATAACCCACACGTTTATTCAAAAGACGTAAAGACACACTGATATGAAAATAGCTCCTTTCCTTTATGTTCAGTAATTGCTAGAACGTATCAAGTTCAAAGAGATTTCATAGACTACATTACCCCATACTTTATAAAACAACCGCACTTTTTTGAGTGAACACTTTTCAAAATAAAACAGGAAACCAAAGACAGATCTTGACAGGACAAAATAAAACAGGGAATACTAATACGGATCATAACACCCACTATCTTGTTGTAAGCAATTTTTTTTATCAGGATTCATTCTAAAAATGTTGATGATCCTCTGACTTCACTTCTAACACCACCAATAGGTCAAAGTTGTTCCTTCTCTTGTGCTCTCAACACTGAAATAAATGTTTCCGACACAATCTACTGACTTTCCTTTATTTCCATTATATTGCGAATTCCCGACCAGGGATTCGAACCGACGTCGGTAAATGTTAGCCTAAATGACAATTAGCATTGCCCTGATGGTGTCTGTGTAGTTTCATACTCGAGGGGGCCTCCAGCCAGAGTGGTACACATGTGTTTTGATAACTTCCCTTGTGCTTGTTTCTCAGGGAGGCCGTTTCATTTAGCCACTAATGTCAGCTAATTATTTCTGGCCCCCTGTTGTTCAACACGTTGAGTCTCTCCGTGGCCGACCCCCCTGCTGCGCTGCACTCCGGGCCTTCCTCGACGTGTTCTCATTAGAGACGGCGGTTAAACTCCCCATTTTGAGTATCTCTTCCACTCGCTCTCTGTTTCTCCCCACTCTATCTCCCTCTGTTTGTTTCTCTCTCGGCTTTCTTAGAGTGCCTCTCCAAACACTCTGTTAAATAAAGATTCCACTCCAGGCAGAACAAACCCAACATTCAATCAGGTGTGTAAACAAGTCTGACTAATGCCTGCACGGCCACACACACTGACATGTTTTAAGAAATGTATGCAGGTACACACACATAAGCAGGATCTCATTAACACGCAGATAAAAGCCCACACGCGTGTGAAGTATTTGGTATGCAGCATTGAAGGTTCTTGTTTTATTTCACAGGCATATTCCCCACTGTAGGTTTATTAAGAACAGATCATGTTTACAGTGTTGTTTTGCTAAATAATCCAGTGATACTTTATGTTTTGCTGAAACGCTGCTAATGATGCAGCTTCGCAAAGCTCATTATTCAAAAAACAAAAAAACATGTATTACACAATGTATTAATGAAAGTAGCAATAGCCAAGCAATACATTCCTAAAACAAAGTTCTATATCTAATGTGCTTCATAATACAGAAAGGGATGCATATTTCGATTCATTAGTTAATAAATGATTGGTAATGCTACCAATGGCTTAGTGCCTTAGGCCTTTTGTGCTACAGGCTTAAACAATTATTATTATATTTGTTTTCTGCTAGTCCTGTTCGGTTTCTACGCCTCACTTTTGGTGTCAAAATGCTCAATAGTTAGATCAAGTAAGTATCAAGTAGATAAACATTTGGGAAAATTGTTTTTCATTCTTATCAAGTATCTTATGGAAATCCATTCAGAGTGTGCTGTGCCTAGCTTAACAAAAAGACTGGAAATCACAACGGTGCATTCAAAGTTCTGTTCATTTTTTGAATAAAAGATGAAAGATTGTCTAAATAAATTAGCGTTTGACTGCTTTTATATTTCTGAACTTTAACAGTATTTCTGCTATGCTAGGCTAAACACCTATAGATTAGCTTGGCAAAGAGATTAAATGGTTAACACTCCTTATCATCTCCAAAAAGCAGTATTCAGTATACAGTATTCAACACATCTGCAGCTCCCATAGGAAGGATAAGCTGCAGCCACCATGTCTTTGAACATGGTAAGAAACACTAGTTGTGAGTGTTCCTACAGGCATTTCCATGGAGAGATTTCAGAGAACATAAAAGCTTTTTCTTGCCCATTTTAAAAACTCCAGGGACAGACAAGGAACAATAAATGAAATTAAAGGTTTCGTAATGGTTGGTTTGCATTTGTGTAGTTTTTCTGTTTCTGAAACACTGAACATAACTGCCATCATAGCAACTTACAGAAAGCTAAATAGAGAACACATTCACCAATTGGGGAGTAACAAAAAATGTTTCCTATTCAACATATCTTTTATCAGACCGCTGAAAGAATGATTTGTTGAACATTTTATTGCAGCCAATGACAAAAGATGAGGCTTTTGTTGAAAGGCTACATGTCAATGTCTGTTTCAAAGGTGATGGTAATAAGAAGCAAAATGTCAGCTGACGT